AAGTATGTGAGACCACCTCATCCCTGCCCTGTCCCACCGGGTCAATCTCAGGCAGTCCCCGGCTCCAGTGGGACTTGCCCTGGGCATGCAGGATGGCAGTGACAGAAGAGCATCCAGGGAAGCTCTCTCACAGGCAAGGCAACAATAGCCAAGGCCCTTCATAGTTTTATCTTAATTACATTTCCCAGCTGTATCGAGAATGAAAAAGTCATACACATTTTAGTATGGTTTAGTAACAATCACTCTATGAATCTAAACTATTCAATAGTAAATGATCCTTTCTAGTATTATTTTTTAGCCACTCTAATAGAATTTATTAGTAATTTTTTATTAAATTTGACAAGGTGAAAACAAAAGGCTATAGAAGAGTATTCAGCTTCATTATAGTCTATAGTACTTTTCCATAAAGGTTAATATGGACTCACCACTCCTAATAATGAAATGGCAATACCTTTGCTGAGACTATTCAAACCTTACAGTTCTGCCCTTTCAAGAACATTCTTTCGTTCGACATTTATGTTCTACTTCTGTGGTTTTCCCCATCAATAAGCTACATTTGCAGAAATTTAGGAATGTCTTGTCTCTCCTCCCCAAGTATTACTGGATGCGCTACAGTAAAATACAAAATAAAATCTGATCAAGACAATTCTAAAGCTGTCAGCATATTTGGTTCCCTAACTATACATCCAAATAATCTCAAAAGTGTTGTACTCTTCTCTTGGAGCTGGTAAGCTATTTGATGAATTATTCTGGTGACAGACAACCTGGCATTTGTTACAAGCATTTTTATGATTCAGTAGTTTTTGGAGAGACTAGAGAACTAAGCAGCAGATTTACACTGGAACAAAATAAAAGCAGAGATCTCATCTGCCTGATGAATGACTGAAGCAGCTTTCATCTGCAGATTTTCAGCTTGTTTGCCTGAAGGTGGAGAACTTATTGTTTAGGACTTGATAGTGGTACCCTCAGGCTACAATCAAGTGCCATGTGTTGAAGGCTGTGCACATGCAGGGGGTAGAGAGACTGTTAACTCTGGGGCAGCTTCCATCTGAGCAAGACACGTAAGTGCAATAAATTTGAAAGAAAAAGGAGATGAGGAGAAGATGAAGGCTGTATCATGGATATCAAAGCAGTTGTGCCTGGCTGGCTGCTCTGCTCAGCCAGTTGGCTCTTTGGTAAGGGTGCCACAGCAGATGTGGGGTTTTTCAGAAAGAAGTAAATGTAAGAACAACAGCAGCTGTAAGGCCATTACATACATAAAATTTGGCATCAACAGGTGGGCAAATACAATATTACTGGCTGCCTTACTCCTTAGCAAACAGATATTAGATAATGCCTCCCTGTCTGCCAAGCAATGAGTCAGTTGTTGAGATGAAGGGACTTCTCTGGCCTCTTGACTTTCGTTCTCCACATCTGAGCAGGGATCATGCCAGCTGCCTCCCACTTCTATGGGGCAGCTTTGGTAACAAATGCTAAAGCCACATTTGACATGGGAGGGCAGGCAAGTCAAGTTTCACCCGTGCATTTGAAAAGGACACAACTGCTAACTGCATGGGTGCCTGTCTCTTGGCACCAAGGGCTACATTCAGCCCACCTGCCACTGAGGGTTAACCAAGCTGTTTGCAGCAAAAATGCCAAAAGTTGTATGAGTAATGGAAAATTCATACCATCCCTGCATCTTCTTGTTCTGCCTCTCCATCTAATCTTTTGTCTCCCCCTGCTAGGATTTAATCTGTACCCTAACAAAAAGCCCACAAAAGTCAGTTCTTCTCCCCACAGAGCAAACAGCTGTGAGGACAGGAGGCACTGGCAGATACTACAAGCAACCTCTTCTGGGGCCGGTGGGAATACTGGAGAAAACCAGTGATTGCATTTTCCGTGCATGGACATTTTGGTGCTTTCCGTATGTCTTTTGAACAATGCCAGACTTGTCCTATATTTGAACCCAGCTCACAGTCTTCCACTTGCTTAGCTGTGAACATGATTTTGACATGGTTTTTTAACAAAGCCATTTCAACCTCTTAGTTAATTTGTTTCCGAGGCCTTTTTCTTTTAGAGTGTGTAATTAAACTAAAAGAGCCTGGAAAAACCCCTTACAGTAAATAATTTACAAGTTCCTCCCTGGGGACATTTTTTAATTATAACTGCACTGGCCAGATCTTACTGAATACTCTGAGATAGCATTCCCTGCTGAGATCCTGAAACATAATTAACTTATTCCTTTGGTAATGGTATTTTTCCTTAGCTTATTCATTTCTTATGCAGGGCAGGCAGATTTGTTTATAAACAAAGTACAGACTGATAGATGCTTTGTCATGGGAATAGCAATAATGGCACTCACTGCAACAGACGGGGGCACGTCCATTTGAGGGAGGATGATACTGCTTTGAAGCAATTTTTATAAATCCTATCCTGACAATCCAGTATGAAGAGACACACAAGAGCAACCAGGCAGCCCCAGTTCCTCTCCTTGGCAGCCTGCCTTTCTCCCCAAGTGCCATTTTCTGCATAGCAAACGTAAACAATTCTGGTGCACCTACCAACCCCCTAACCTTTGTGCTTCAGAAACACTGCTATATACTATCAAACTGACAGTAATTTCTTGTTATGTGGCAAAAAGAAAAACCCTGAGTGACAGCAGCAAGGTTGGGGAAGTCAAAGGAAAGCTGTCACATTTATTTAGCTCTGTGGTTCTCAAGAGAATATCCATAAATATCATTTTACTATCCCCCACCAGCCAAATGTTAAGAGCTATCTGCATCACCCAGGGTCCTACAGCTCCCCCAGCCTGGCCAATGAGCCTGTGATGATCTCCTCCTGACCCAGCAGGGGCTGGCAAGAAACAAAAACCAGGTCATCTTGATCCCCATGATACAGTACATTAAGTAGTTCCCTCATCCTTTCCCACTGCAGCTGTAGCCAATTGGGCAGCTTGGAGTGAAAGCAGCAGAGGATGGCTCCACCACATACTGAAATGTGATCTGCAAGATATGAAGTTCAGGGATGTGCATTGCCTCAAGCCCCAAAAACCTTCAAAGCTCTCTTGCTTTCCCAAATTAGTTCCAGCAACTCCAAGGACAAAGTTTGGCACCTGTCTGTTCCTGTGCTGGATGGGGGCCTGTATTTTACATCCAAACTTTTGCTTTTTACTTTTTTCCCCCCATTTTGAACTCCTGGGAGTTTACAAATGTCAGCAACAAAATGTCTGACCAAGTCTCCATCTCTCTCTAAGCACTTTGTTTCTGTACAGTTATTAGTGCTGGCCCTGAATTCTCTTCAGCAAATGCTGTGTTTTTGTACTCAGTTGTTCACCTGCAGTGAAATACTTACAAAACAAGCTAGTCCTTATTTTAGTGAATAAATCACAGCTCAAACAGCAAGATCAACAGCTAATCCAAAGGGCCATAAAGTTTTGGAATAAACTCATATCTAACTGGGCAAAGAATAATAATAATAAAAAACCCTCTGTAAAAACCCTAATATAAAGAATGTCTCAGAAAAGCAAAGGCACATGGTGCAGAGCTTTTGGATAAAGTTTGCTTTCATGGTAGCCATCTAATTTAAGTGGCACACAGCCTTCTAATGAAATGCAGCTCAAAAAATTCTATTTATCTTTAAAACCCAACATCATGGCTGCCCCTGAGCTTGAATGTAGCAGCAAAAGGTCATTAGCCTCTGATTCTGTTCCGCTACACTGACATGGCCTCTTAATTTTGTGCCTTACGTAGAACTGGAGCAACACTCATGCAGTCACACTTGGGGTCATGCTTACCAAAAGAATGTAAACATCTCTCAGGACCCCACGTAAAGCACCATGGTTAAACCTTGAGGCAGGACACCACTACAGCATCCACTGGTTTTGGTGGGGTGGAAGCAGGTAGCTTGTTGAGTGGGGCTGGATTTCAGGTACGCATTTAAACCAGCTATCAGATTTGTGATCCAGGTTTCCACTGTGAATAATACTGGCTTCAGCATGGCTTTGTTGATGTCCATGGCAGGCTGTGCCATATGGCATAGTGCTGAGCCTAATGTGACTGGTGAACTCCAACAGCCTTGCAGACAAACCTGGAAACAGGTTTGCCACTTGCAATGCTGGCCTCGTCTTTTTGTTGTTGCTCCCCACGTGGCAACAGAAGTTCAGAAATGAAGGATTAAAATATTGCCAGGAGGACAGATATTGTGGAAAAAAAAAAAAAAAAGAAGTCCAGTTTTCTCACCATATTTATTCCCCAAATAATGGTCTTGAATGATAAAAGTCTGTCTCCCCCCCATGCAGCAGGACAGCTGGTAGCACTGCAGAGCTCAGAGGAGCTGGAGGACTCCCCGCCACAGGCACCAGCACCATCTTCTCAACTGCTTGTACAACCCTGTCTGATACACCAGCACATCTTCCTCTGCATCTTTCTTTTGGTGGCATAAATAGTTTGATAAAGAACGGACAGAAGGCCAAGTCTGATCACCATCACTTTACTGAATAGCTCATATTGCAAACTGCTACCAGCTGTCCTGTTCAGGCTGCAGCTTTTCTGTACATGCTGGCGGGAAGCCCAGCAGGCCAGTTCTGAAGGGATCTTCCACCACTGCCAGATGGACCTTTGTTAACACAGGATGGAGAAGCACCTCAGAGCACAGGCCTGAGAGACTTGAACTACTAAGCTTATGCTCACCCCAGAACAAGAGAGTTTAATTAGTTACTGTCTTGGCAAACTGGAAATAAAACTGAATACAAGCATTCTGAGATGAAAAGTTTCACATATATTGTAGGCATGGATTTCTTCACAAAACCAGTTCTTGTTGAAGAAGTCTTATAGTCATTCTGCTCCACAGCTGGTCCTTGAAAATTAATGGATTTTTAAGTGATAACACAGAGTTTGGTGAAAATAAATGCACTGATTTATTGATTGAGGGTACAGTTAAACATGTATAGAATAAGAAATGGTCTTTACTGTAACAGTCACACATTCTTTTTTTAATTGATTCTAGAATAAGAATTCACACCAGATATATGCTAATTAGAAGCCAATGTAATCCTCACTACTATTACCACATTTACACCAATTATTATTTTTTTTTTGGTTGAAACACAAATATTGTATTTTATTGCTCCCAAAGTCATTATGACTATTAAAGGTCATGATTGATGGATCTGACATCCTTGGCTGGGCATTCTGAAGGCAGGTTGGCATCAAGATACTTTCAGGAGTCTTCATAAAGAATTTCATCTACTTGGACATCATTTTCTGCCACAGGCACTGATTCACAAATCTGTTCCCTAAAAGCCAAGGCAATTGTGTAAGGCTTTCCACTGGGATGCTTCATACATCTTTCAAGATAGGTATCATAATATCCTTTTCCTCTTCCCAATCTGTTGCCTTTTTTGTCAAACCCGAGGCCTGGCATGAAGATAAGGTCAAGACCCCCTGCAGAAAAACGAAATAAACATTAGTGCATGTACTGTGGATTTCCTGATGGCTTGACTACATCCATGTAACTTCAGACATTTGCAAAAATGCAAGCTTTGTGTTTTGCAAAATGCTTCCCTCTCTTTGATCAGATGAAAAATACTTTGAATACTAAACCTGTACATTTGCATTTTCATCTTATCAATTGCATACGAGATCAGTTGTAAAATAATTAGACTTTGAAAAGCTGGAAGGAAAAAAAACAACCTACCTTCTAACAAATTTATTTTATCATTTTAACCCCACATCTCCAAGCACTAGTGATTATGCCTCTAAATCCAGGCAGAGATTGAACTCAGGGAAATTAAATGCAGGAGGAATCTGAAAATCAAATTAACTTCAACATCAGACAGAAAAACAGAGAAGGCAAAAAGAATGAAGACATCTAAGAGAGAGAAAGAGCATCTTCTCAATACAACTGTAAGATGACATGAACCTTCACTCAACCTCCCATAACCAAAGAGCCTCAAATGCAATATATTTTATTGGATAATTTTCCTTTTATAACAAGACCAAGATTTGAAGGCTTGTCTCTTCATGATGTCAGGTTCCTCTTCTCCTAAAGGACTTTATTTCTGAGCCTCCAGTGATTTTCACTGTTGCTCCAGCAGCACACACAGACATTCTGCTTGCCCGTGTACAAAGTCCCCAAAACTCTTCTGAGATTGCACTTAACTGGAACTCAAAGTCAGTTAAAAAACAGAAACAAGCAGCATAAGCTGCCAATCACCTGGACAAAACAGACCCGACTGGCTGGTGAAACCCTGATAAAAGACCCCACCAACCAGCTGCTGATAAAAGGCAAGGTCAGCTAAGCCCTCTTCCTTGCTTTGCTCATGCTCTGTGAGGAGGTGGGATGCCATCATGCCAGGTACCCAGCTACAATTTACAGTTGTTTCAAGAGTTGCTTCACATTGCTGCCAGGTAGGCAAGGCAAACGGGCTGCCACGCTGAGCAACTGCCAGGCATGGAGGCAGCCAGGGTGGAGGTTCCCATTCCTCATGCAAGGTTTGTTCTTCAGTGTGAGAAGCCTTGCAAGGACATCCTCTAAACAAATGAGCTTGGCTGGCCTCGTACTGACTGCTGGAACCAGGAACATCCCAATTACTTCCACAATGCAAAGGAAGTCTTTAATAACTTGCCGTAGCAGACACTTAAGGACAAAGAGCAGGAAGGTAGTGGAAAGCCAGTGAAAACTAAAACACAGCTGACACGTGTCTGGAAAGAAAGCAAGTACTGTGTCTCAGTCCACTGCTTCTTCCTTACAGGAATCGTACCTAGCTTTGAGTAGCATTTCTGTAACCAGCTTCTGCTCCTCCACCAGGGTTAGGATGTGTCAGGTACCTTTCTGCTTTTCTTATGTCCAAACCCACTCTCTCCTGCCTTTTTGGACTGAGCTGCTCTCACTCCATCTTGCTGAGGAATGATGCCCAACATGCAAGACGTGTGGGAGCACGGACTGGAAGGACCAGAGCTAAGCAGAGTTTTGAGTTTTCAGTTTTCCAGGGAATCCCATCTGAGATCACAAATCAACTCTGAACTCAGCCTGCAAGAGCATGTTAAAAGTTCATGTAAGACCAACTCATTTGCACACACTTCCCAGGATCCTGGAGATTTCCCTCCACTTTTCATCGTTCAGAGAAGAGTCACTGATGTGCACACCTAGTAGGGTCTGGGAGACCCTGGTTACACACCTGCAGAGCGAGAGGGTCTTTAAGATCCCGGCAGCTGGGAAGGGTCAGTATTCCCGCCCACTCCCTGTCACAACCCATAAAAGCCCGGAGAGGGGGAAGCTGCCCCCTTCTCCCTCCCTGCTGCTGCTTCCATCGTTTTCCCACGTGCTCGCTCCAGAATCCGGCTGCACCGGGTGCTGTGAGGAGCCCTGGACCTCTCCCCTGGAGTGGCCCTGCCTTTTCCGTATCCCTGCGGTCACTGAGGTCAGTTTTGTATAAAAATACTTTCCTGTTCTTCCCCCACGTTTTATCCTTTTGCCTTGTGTTATAGTGAACTTGTTTCTAGTTTCAATTTACAAAGTTTAAGTCTTTCTTCTTTATTCCCCTTCTATCTTCCCTTGGGAGGGTGGAGGGGGCGTAATAGAGACCAATTCTGTTCTCTGGTTTTTGGGATTCACCTTCAGTATTTAAACCAGGACAGAATAATGTGGTTTTGGGCCCAACACAACACCCATCACAATGCAATGACTTAATTAGAATATAGATACAAAATATGCAAGGCAGCACAGTGTGAGATGCTTAGAGAAGATCAATCTTGCAAACATGGCATCATACAGAGATTTTTAATAAGAGGTCAGGGGAGTAAGAGGAGGGATTTAGCCAGAGGACAGACCACAGAACATTAGTGGTTGAAATAAAAGGGAGTCTGAGTGTTTGGCCATGCTGCATTCCACTTTTTGACTCATAGGACAGCCAAAAGGCAAATGGCAAAGAGGGAAAGAGGCATGAGGGCAGAAGCATGGTCTCACCTGAAAAGAAATGCCATTTTTATAGTTATCATCAGGTACGTGATGTTAGATGTACCATGCCACGTCTCCTTAGCTTGCAAGTAAAAATATGTATTTGCCAGTTGTCAGCCCTATGGACTAGGACCAAACAGCTGTTTGATCTTCTCCCTGTGTCCATGATCAGTAATAAATCCTGCAGGTCAAATGCTCCTGAAGTTATTTCTGTCCTCTCTACTTACCCTCTCCATGATTTGCTTCTCAGTGGCTTTGCATAGGCATTGAGGTGGCCCAGATACACCAAACACTAATAAGGTGCAGAGAGAAACATTCTACCTTACACTTTTGTAGGCTGTTTTCACTTTGTGTGACTCTCGTGGCAAAAAGGAAACACTTGCAGTCACTACTGTCTGCAGGTAAGAATGCACACAAGGGCCAAATCTGCAGAGTAAAAAGGTGCTGGTTCTCCTTCCATCTGCACTGCAGGCAGGAAAGAGACAACTCAGGAGAAGCACTAAGGAAGGAGGGAATCGGCAGGAACAGTGCAGGGAAAAAAAGATATTTTCTATGCAGTTTAACTGATAACACAGGCACACTCGACTGAATTTAGAAGTAGTAAAGCACTGTGTTTTCTTCTACGTACTCTGGAGAAACAGCCTGTTTTAATGAGCCAGCTCCTACAATCATGGATTTTTTATGCCAAATAACTCAAACAAGCTTGTGGAAATTTCAATATGAAAAATGATGCTGTAAATATTGTAATTGTTACCCCTATATTTTTCTTCCACTGGAGCAGTTCCACCAAATGCTTTTGCTCTGACTCACAACACACTATCTGGTATCGATGCAACTCACACTGCACAAGATTTAAGTAGAATGCCAGGCAAGAGTTCCAGAAGAAAAATGACACAGCTATCCTGCAAGGAGCCTGAAGGCAGTTCAAGAAGCATTAGCTCCACATCCTACCCCAGGATCTAGAACGAATGGCAGAGAGCTACATGGAGAAAATGCTTCCTGCCACATAACTTGAGGAGCAGCAAAACCTTTTGTGGTGCCTGCGGCGACGCTGGGGAAAAGCTGTCACAGGATGAGAGGTGACACGCAGATGAGACCAAGATTGCCAACACAGATGAGATCAAGAATGCAATGCAGACACATAAAATTACTATCAGCAATGACAGTACATCAGCAAGATGGCAGTTGAGGGTAAGAACATCTTACCTCTCTTGGTACAGGGCTCTCATGCTCCCAGGCCCTTCCAGCCCTGCAGGACCATTAGTTGCCACTCGAGATGCCCTACTGGCTTGCTACATTCCTACATCCTACTCTTCTTCCTCCCACAGACCCGTGTGTGAAATGGCATCCTTGTTTCAGAGACGACAGAGCAGCTATTTGGGCATCAAATAGCACATCAGCTTTTAGTGCCTTGTATAACAGTCTTAAGAGAGGTCTTGTGATCTCCACCTGTTTCTGTCCCTTTCCTCATAATGTCTGCTATCCCCCATGTGTCTGTAGTCATTACTGTTGGCTCTGGGATCCCTGAGAGACCAAAAACCCAGGAAAGAAAACCAAGAAAAGTACTACCCCAGGTGAGAGGGCTTCTGCCATAATCTGTGCTTCTCCTGGAATACTTACATGTGGTCTGCAAATTGCTAAAGGCTGAAAACACTGCCTCAAGCAACTCCAGCCTGGAGCTTCTATGTAGAGAATACCAATGCTTGTTACAAACTTTAATGAAGCTACTGGGTATCCCAGTAACGTTGGCAGTTACGATGACAGTCACCAGTACTTGCTGTATCAATGAGATGAGCTTGTTGCTACAGCTCTTTCAACTGTGTAGCACCGTGTGTGAAATAATATACCCTGTCTTCCCTCCCAACGTGGGCACGCAGCCCTGCTGACATGGCCACACAGGTTTCGTTTATATTGCTACACACAGCAGGGCAGAAAACAAATTGATTTGCAGGATCACAGGTGGTCAATGCTCTTTTAATTGTCAGCACACTGCCTGGCACTGCTGGTACAAATGATACCCACACCTGGTCCAGGGGACAGGATTCCCATGGGAAGTGAAGACAGGTGAGTACAGGTCTGGCTCCTTCCAGCCCGTGCAGTCCTACACCAACAAAACTGGGTTTGCTCCTCCAGACATAGATACAGATTTTCCTGCCACGTGCTGGAATATGCAACACAAATCCTCAGAGTGATGTTACAAAAATACTGCTGTGATGATCTGCCACAAGGCCTCATATTACTAAAGATACTATAAACTGGGGAAAAGATTAAAAAAAAACAAGCCCTGGTACTGCCTCAGGGTCACAGAGGCACCACATGAGACCAAACAAGAAGAGATGGGCCAATTTTTATGTAGTGAGGACAGGACTAGTCTGTTACTTAACTGTGTAGACACAGTCGTAGCTTCAGAACCAGCCACGTGGGTGTACAGACACACTCTCTTTGCACTGACTTGCATGTGTGTCTGCAGACATACCTTATGTCA